TTGTAACTCCAGTTTGTCATGCTAGTTATGACGCTGTAATCTGTGGGTGTGTTTGCATTATTCTATGATATATTTGTCATCATTATTTTTCATAGATGAATTCTAGCCGTAGTCTGCACATCAAATGTCTGAGTAATAAACAATCTGGCTAAATGCAAGCTACAACTGTAGAAAACACGTCCAGAGAATAAGGGGGACAGGGGACTGTATCAGTGTATGACGTGATAGCTTGTGTCTGTAGTGGCTGAAGATGTCCTGGAAAAGTCCTGGGAAATAATTTCAAGCAAAGAGTGGGAACCTGATGGAGATACTGGATCAAATTGTTCCCAGTTGTTTGGGATTTGTCATTATCTTCATTAAAACTCAGCATCACAGGGAAGCAGTTGCCGACAAAGACTTGATTGTGAAACGTCAGCGTTTTCAGGAAACAGTTTTGTTGTTGTTGTTGTTGTTAACAAACAGGTCGTCTGAATGCTTTTGTTTTTCCTCACCTTGTGATAATTACAGCAGTCAGAGGAGTCCCTCCCCAGGTCCCAACCATGTCGCCTCCAGCAGCAGCAACGCCCCCAACTCTGCCTCGGCTCCCCCCACGGCCTCAGGAGCCCGGCCCTCCTGCTCCTTCACCCCCACCCTTGCTGCCCACTTCAATGAAAACCTTATCAAACATGTACAGGGATGGCCTGCCGAGCACGCGGAGAAGCAGGTCTGTATTTCACCGTATTTTTCAGCACAAGGTTTAAGCTGGTTCTGGTTGTGCAAAATTTGTTTTACAATGAATTTTGCTTGTGACCGTCTCAAAGGCGTCAAGACTACGTGAAGAGGCCCACACCATGGGCAGCATCTGCATGTCTGAGAACTGCACCGAGCTCAAAAACCTGCGGTCTTTGGTCCGAGTCTGTGAAATACAAGCAACATTGCGTGAGCAGAGGTAAGAATCCATGTTTAGTCTGGTGGATTCATACATTGTATTGAATAGATGGATGTAGACTCGGTCTGAAGAGTGAAGCCAATGCCTTTGGACCAATTCATGCTCTCTGCATCCGCATGTCTGCAAAGGTACACGCGACGTGAATTTCATCAACTACCTAAGTCTGTGCAACACCAAACTTGTGACAGTGTTCTGTTGTACTGTTCATACTGCACGGACACGACCATAAATTTCAGATTATTGAGCGCACCTGAATATAAGCCACACCCACTAACTTAAAAAGAAAACAAGTTTTGTACATATATAAGCTGCACTTGTCTATAAGCTGCATATGTCCACGTTGTAACATGAGATATTTATACACAAAGATTTTTTAAACTTTTAATTAAGTACGTACCGGCAACATACACAAATACGTAAATGTTTTTTTCCAAACAGTGCCTGTAACACGGCTGGTTAAGAAAATAAAAAACACAGTATCCTACCAGGAAAAGTCATTGATCTCTATCTTCATCTTCCTCCTGCACTAAAACCACTAAAGTCGTCTTCTTCAGTGTCGGAATTGAACAGCCTCAGAATTACTCCGTCACACACTTCCTCATTATTGTTTAAGCTGCAGTGTTAAAAAAAGTTGCGGCTTAGAGTCTGGAATTGACGGTAACTGTGAATGTGCCAGAAAGACGAATGGTGTTCAAAACATCACTGAGGAGAGACTGTGCACGGAAACTCTCACTCATTCAAACCTTTCTAGTTCTTCATTAAAGAGCTGTAATGGAAATAGTTGCTGCAGGACTTCAGAGATGCTTTAATTTGTGCATGTTTTCCACCTGCAACGCCCAAACAGTGGCAAGTTCTAAGTTCTGTACAAATCCTGTGCTGTGTCTGCCCACTGTGCTCGACACACCTCAGAAACTATCAGTGACACGCTGCTGCTGCTGCCTAACCTGTCACTAGCAGCTATATTCTGTAAAAAGTGCAAAGTCACAACACATGAGTGTGAGCCCTGTTTGTTCTATAAGAGGGGCAGTGTGACGTCTACATGGCAGAGTGATGCATGTCTGTTGCAGTACGAACAGAACTATATCTGCGTTCTGCTTTCAAACTTCACATCCGTCACATGGGAACCATGAATTTGCCTTTACATCTGCATCTTTTCTAACAGCCAGCCTCTAGTCCTTGACTTCTTAAGCCTGGATTATGCTTTCCGTACTAACGTGACGCACAGAAATCAGCACTAGAGAAGGCGTGTGACTTTTATACTCAGCGCGGCGTCTGTTACCAAACTGCAGGGGGCAGTGTGTCACAAACGCAGGTATACCACAGTACTGACTTTGAGTAGAAGAAGTTTGGAATTGTTTACATCGCTTACAGCACACGCTTGTAGTTTACACAAGGATGCAGTAAATACGCCGAATTTAGCACAAGAATAATTCCATCTGTTTTTAGCAGTTTGTTTTCTGTTCTGACATAATTATCAATGGACTCACCTCATCTGGAGTCAGTTTCCCTGAGAGCCAGCTCAACTCTCTTAAAATCCTCAGGACATTTAGGCTTCACCCTGGGTCTCCACTTCGCCCATTGGTGCTCTTTTGCCTTAACGTATCTGTCCGTAGGTTTTTCCAGGTTTTCTTCACCCATTCCTCGTCTTTACCGAGTGTGGCCATAATTTCACGCTGCGAATTGGTCATCACACGACTATTGTGGTGATCCCTGAATCATATAAATGCCTGTATTTTTGTAGGGCTGGACCCAAATATCTGAATATTCGGTCATAGTGGTGGTATCCGGATAGCACCCCCTGACCGAATATTCGGATATTCGCCATTAAATGTGCCCAAATATCAGAAATTGCTGTTCAGACCAGCCCTATATTTTTGTACCACTGCCACAAGGAGCTCCTGTTCGTCCGCCATGTTTTCTGCACGTCTCCACCGCATTGTTGCAGATTTTTGAAGGTGCGCGATGCAGAAATGTTCCACAAGAAAGGCCTGCACGAGGTGGCGTGGCTGCTAAAATGACCTAACAGAGCCACGTGGACGTGTCAGGCATAACCCAGGCTTAAGTCAGATACGTCCTGTTTCAAAAGACCAAGATAAAGACAAATGTCAGAGTTGAAGCTTCAGAAGAGCAGACCGCAAACCAACGGATAGACACAGCTGCTGCCTCCATCTTTTCTGTACAGTTTCTGTGTAGTTTGCACCTCTTGTAAATGAAACCTTCATGCGACTAATGTTTCTTCTCTCTCTCTTTTTCGCCGCAGGATACTGTTTCTGAGACAGCAAATCAAAGAACTTGAAAAGTTGAAGAATCAGAATTCTTTCATGGTCTGAGAACTTCTGGTTGCGAGTCGGAGCGGGCGTCGGGGGGTGAAAGAGGGGGCGGGGAGACCCATTGCACATAGTTGGAGGCTGGAGGAAGAGCAGTTGTTCAGTTCCTCTTGAGCCCAGTCTTAACACTCACACACAGGAGCTGCAGTCGGGTTGGCTTTGGACCGTTGGGCTGGGAGAACCAAGAGGGAGGAATGAAGAGCTGTGGCGGGAGGAGGAGGGTGA